TTAACATTCAAAATTACACTTCCTTCTTCGTTAAAGAGAACTTGATTGCCAGTGCCCACAACAAGTTGAGAAACACTAATCAAGTTATGTTGAAGACCTTCAACATATGCAACACGATTCACTGTGAATTGTCCATTCGTGATCTTCCCATATCCTTTGACTTGACATTTTTGATTGTTCCCAAACTTTACTACTCCAGCATTTTTGAGACTTCGAAAATCTCGTAAATTCTCCTTCTTCCCAGTCATGTGACGAGAGCAACCACTATCAATGTACCACTTGTTATCATATTGCTCGTCACACAGTACCTGCAATCAGTGGAAAAAATTTAGGTACCCAAGGCTTTTTGGGTCCTTGGAAATTAGATTTCAATTTCGAATGTAATGAAGAACTTTTAACCCAATCACAAACTTTGGTTTTGAGACTATCAATTAAGTTCACTTCATCATCTAAAGGAACCGAAACATAAGTGTTTGAAGGTTTCGAATGTTCACTGACACTACCCTTCGAATTCTGAGTTTGAGAATGAACATTCTTTGCCTTTGAAACTGATTTCCAAACTTTGACCGAGATGTTCGAATCCTTAGAAGATGAACTTCCGTTCGAAGAAGTATTAACATATTTTTCATATGCTTCATGAATTTGCTCCTTTGAATATGCATTCGACTGATACATCTTTCCTTTGCCTTCAAGCCAATGATCAATGTTCTTCCTTGAAGTTATTCCTTTTTCTCGTGACGTTTTCATAGTTTCTTTCTTCGTATGATTAGGAAAATTTGGCTTTTGAGGAACAAAATCAACTTTGGGATTTGTTAGAAAAGAGTAAGCATAGGATGAATCAACTGTTGATTTAAAATGTTGTCGTTGAAAGACTTGTTGATTTGAATTAGATTTATTTGAAAAAGCACTTGATTTGTTAGTTTCAGAAACTTTCGAAAACTTTGGTTGCTTATTCACTTCAGACCTTGTATGATTTGATTGAGATGAATGTTGGGTTTTTGTTGAAAAAGAGGAATTTTTAGCTTTGAAAACATTTTTGTTGATTGTGATTCAGACATCTTTTGAGACTCAACATTTTGCCAAAATATTTTCTTTCTTGCTTGTCTTTTCGAAATGTTGTTTTCCTTCGAAAATTTGTCAATTTGATCTTTAAATTCCTTAGAATTTAGTTTAACAACTTTTTCATTTTCTTTTTCAGCATGTTTTGAATTCTCTTTTTCAATTTTTGATTTTTCAACCCATTGTCTTTGTGGTTTTTGACGTTGAAATACATACGAATTCTTTGTTAAGTTGTTTTCAACTGTGCTTTGATTTGCGAAAAAACCTTCTTCAGTTGTTTTTGAATTATCCTCCTCAACTAACTTCTTTAATTCTGGTTTGATATTCTCAACATTTCCAGTTGTTACAAAAACTTGATTTGGAAAAATGACATCATCTGTGCATTTGAAATTTGGATAAACCACTGTATTCGTTTCAAGATAATGTTCACCTTTTTCATTCATTACTTTTTCGAACTTTTGTGTATCACCATACACTTGATCAACAACTATTCGAGGAATTTCTTTTTCCTTTGTAACTTCCTTTTTCTTCGTTTGTTTCTCTTCTTTTTCATCATCACTATCATCAGTTTGGCTGTCTTTGAGATCCACGAAGTTCATATCACAAACTTTCGAAGTTGAGGGTATATCAGTTTCATTTTCAACCATCAAATCCTTAACTTTTTCTTTCCCTTTAGATGTTGAAGCAACATTAACAACAGACAACTGAGAACAATCAACATCTTCAAGCTCACTAATTTCACTAATATTATCAGAATTATCTTCAATATCAGCAAAATTAGATTGAGAATCAGACGTTGAATTCTCAGTCTTTTTCAAAATTTGAATTTGTTCAGATTTAGTCAAAGTATCATTCACAATGTTAACTAAATCATTCGCATCAAGACATTCATCAACTTTGACTATTCCATATCTATACTTATCATTCGGAACTTTGTTAAAATCAGCAATTTCTTTTTCACAGTCATACGAAATGTTATCTACTGTAGCTCTTTCATAAGCTAAAAATGGCATAAATTTTCTATGTTGTTCTTTACTGATTTCACACGAATGATGTAGTTCAGTTAATTTCCCATACAATCTTTTAGCCGAATTACAGTAAATGTTCCTCTGGGCTAACAACAGTTTAGTTTCACTAGACAAATTATCCCTATCAACCATGATATTAGTTATTTGAAGTTCTAAACAATCTATCTTAGTGATTTTCGAATCTAGTTTCTTCTGTGTCTCTAGCAACTGCATAGACAACTTCTTAGCCTCATTGCTAGCAGATACCACAATTGAATCAAAATAAGTAACAGTTTCATCGAAAGATACTAATTCAGAATTATAAGCATGTACTGGAATATTGAAAGATTCAAGAATATTACGTACCTTTGTGGTCATCGGAGATTTGTCAGCGGCTTTTGATACGAAGCATCTCCCATGAACTTCGTATGCCTCCTCATCTGATTCTTCCTCCATTTTTGCATACATTGCTCCGTGGGTTGGATTTCTCATTTCCTCATCATCTGATCCAGATGACCAGATTTGATAAGTTCCTTCTTCATCCTCATTCTCACCCTTTGCAACCAATGACAAATTCTTGGCTTTAGCTCGAACCACCTCCAGCTTCTCTGCATAGTATGCCTCATCCTTGACCTTATTCTTCCTTTCATCCTTCTTTCGAAGCATACAGTCATTCGCAAGGTGATTAGCACCGTTGCAATAATGACAATCTATCCCAGCATCTCCCTTTAACTTCTTCTCTGTTTTTCCCTCAACAAGCTTTGTATCTTTCATCTCTTCCTTCTTCTTCTCATCCCCAACACTTTTACTCATAAAATTCCCTTTTGTCTCAGATGACTTTGCCTTCGGATTGAAAGGCTTTTTGAAGAACTTTTTCACACGATTGTTTGAATAGAAAGCAATCGCCTCATCATCTGAGTTCATGATGAACCCTTCGTCTTCGTCCAAAACATCTTTCTCAGCTTCCCTTTCAGAGATCTTCGAAACCAAAGCTAGTGGACCTCCCAAACTTGCCTTCGATTCTTCAACAATTTCGTTCACTTCGCTTTCATGAGACTTCAGTTGATTGTACAAGTCATTCAAAGTTGACGTATCAAAGCTCTGTTGATTCTTAACCATCATGCTCACACTACGCCACTCCTTACGAAGTCCCATAACAAAAATTAGATTGAACTCCATGGCCGATCTGGTGATACCATATCGATTACATCGATAGATTAATTCATTTAGACGATCGTAGTAAACTTCAATCGTTTCACCATCTTTCTGTCTGAAGTCCTTCAGTTCCACTAAGCATTGCTTCACAGAGTTAACTTTAGTTTTCTCACTCCCCTGAAATTTCTCCTTGAGATTGTTCCAGATTTCCTTTGCAGTTGTACAACTCCTCACATAGTTGTAAACAACTGGAGGCAAAGCACCTCTTAGCTCTCTCACGCATCTCTTCTCTAGCTTTTTCAGACGATCAGACTGATTCTCAACATCAGAACTTCCAGAAGATGATCCAATTGGTTGAACATTCATTGGTGGATTGAGATTGCCAGAAATGCAATTCCACAGTTCTTCATCCAATCCGTTGAGATAATCCTGCATACGATCAGCCCATTGATCGTAATACTCAGGGATTAGCATAGAAATTTTGGTGGATGATCCTAGAAGATGAGAAAATGAAGTCATGGAATTAAGATTGAAAGACGCCATTGATGTACGGAATAAATCCTTGAGAATTTTTGAAGAAACTTTGAGAATTTGACAACAAACTATATGATTCAAATCAGAATCACTAGTAGAACACTCGATTCAATGAATTAAGTGCAGAATCGAATCACAGACTAAGATCTAGACAATTTTTCACTTTCAAAAAGTGCGGAAACTTTTGAATCAAAAATTTGATTCAAAAATCTTTTGAACAACGTGAAAATCAGATCAGAGATATGATTCCTGCTCTGATACCAATTGATGAAACAAAGAATCGAGTAATGAATTAATCAGAGTATGAATTCAAGTAAGAATGCGAGATTTGAACACAGGATGTAAATATGATCTTGTTTCAGCTCTATTACGCTCTCAAGTTTTACAGAGTACAAAAGACAATTCTGTAAAGACTCGTTCTCTCTATGACTCTAGTAAACACTCCTATATATAAAGAGAGAAAAGCATACAAAAAATATACTAAGGACTAAGCGTTAAGCTTCGAATACAATGCCCTAGTAAAATAGATTACAAAATGTTCGAAGACACCAAAACATACTTCGACTAATTACAACATTTCGACTCTAACAATTATGTTAAAACAATTTGCATTTAAAGTAGAATCTGTTATGACTAATTCATGAATTTATGCTATTATTCAATATTGAATAACAACATACTTTAAGATATAAAAACAACAACAATCATTATAGACTATAGATACAGTCATTTAAATTATTAAAAGTTCTGATTGTATGATCATAGTAGTATAGCATATTAACAAATGTTTGTTAGTAAGAATCATTACTGACTGTACATTATAAGTATACCAGTCATGTTAATCATCATTGTTTGACATAATTTATTTCTTATTTAATTTTTCAAAAGTTAATGTAAAATTATAACTATTAATATTAAGTTTAAAATATTACCATTCCATTACTAAATTAGCAAACCAAAAGGAACTATTGTACGTTCTACAACCCAAGTTAATATCCTTAACATCAAAAACCATTGTTTTAAAACTATCCAAAAGAAACCATCAAAGTCATAACTAAAATACTTTTTTAACATAATTAACTAAAATCATCCAATCTTGTGTGAATTTGTTCCTTTGCAATGGCCAACAGTTCAGAACGTTGTCTTGAAGGAATCTTGTGGAATTCATCAACCTTTTGGAGCACATAATCCTTTTGCACATTATATTCGTGAGTGATGATTTTGTATAAATACTTTGTCCTCAGTTTACAAGTTGATCATCTTGTGCAGAAGACTCGTTCTTGAACCCACCTTTAACTCATTCATACTTCCACCCATATACGTTTCCATGTGACGCATTGTAAACACACCACAATCAGTGTGGTTGTTTATTGTTCTCCAAAGCATTTCCAGTCTATATGACATCACATGTGAAAACATCTCAGTTTTTGGATGATTCTGAGATTTTAAGTAATCAACTACGTACTTTTTCTGAAAATGTAAAAAAGATTGTCAACACATATGAAATGTTATTTACTAGGTAATGTAACTTTTATTAATCACTTATAATGATTTGGGGCAACTGACCATATCTCTCATCAATAGGATCATCAACTTTGTTGTTGTCAATGATTACAACTCTCGGTGTTTAGATTGATCACAAAAGGAAAATGTGGAGGAACGGACGACTGGTAGGAAAAGCTGTAACGTATATTCATTTACATGTATTCACTTTATTTAATAATCATATTTGATTAATGATAAATAAACACATAAGTAAAATGTTCAGATATGTATCTTACCAATCCAACGTAACGTAGGCTTGCGTCCATATCTTTACAGATGAACTGTAGTAATCGATTGTCGTATAAATGTTTAGATGTGACAATATTTTGCATTGCAGATACGATCGAATCCTCTCAAAGATAAGAAGTTAGTTGTGATTACTAAAACATAGGAACGGTTTCTTTTAATTGTCAAACTTACCTGATATATTCAAAATGGATGACATCATAAAATTACTTGAATACCCTTTTATATATTTTTTTAATTAAAAAACAATTTAAAATCATTTAATATTATGTTTAAATTAATGATTAATGACAGCCTTAGATTTTAAATATTTAATATAGCAGATTTGTTCTCGCGTTCTCAACCTTTTAGGTGTTCTCATTTGATCATTTCCCTATATATATATATATATATAATATATATATATATATATTATATTATATATATATATATATATATTATATATATATATATATATATACACACACACCTTGATTGAGACTTATGCTTGTACGGTTGATTGTTCCCCTTCGGGTTTTTCCTGCTAGCTCCTTGCTAGTCGTGAATAAAGCTGTGTTGTTAAAATAAAAAAAAACATAAGCAACCAGAATATGTTTTGCTCATATACTGACAGTCGATTTAAACTGAGTTTTACATTTATATTTTGTACACACCATAAAAACATAAAAAATAAAAATATAATTATTATTATTATAGAAAAACGGTCTTTATAGTTAAAAAAAAAAAAAGTAGATATTTCATAGTTTTTTTTGAACACGTATATATTTCGACGTTTAATGTTTAAAATAACAAAATATGAAAGCATAACGTTACTATAAACAAATGAATGACTATACCTTGCTACAAATTTATATTTTACCAATAAATAATTTTAAAATATATATATATATATATATATATATATATATATTATAATATATATATATATATATATAGATATATATATCAATGTTTTAAAAACCGATTTTTTAGTTGAACTGGTCTGCTGATCGGTTACCCGGTTCGACCGTCGGTACAATCGGTTCGACCGCCGATTCAACTAAGAAAATTTCATATATCTGATAGTGGTATGCATCGGTCTTCGAGTTGTGTAGACTTTGATAATGTTTAATTTTTCTTTGGAAATGTGTTGTGTTTTTAACGGGCTAAGTAAAATTCAATTATACAAGTCTCATAAATCGGTTCATATATATATATATATATATATATATATTCGGTTCGACCCAGTCTAAAAAATGACATGAAATCAATCCTTATTGAATTGCTTTTGTCTCCGTTTCCCTGTCCAATCGTTCGAACCCGTTTTTAAAAGATTGATAATATATATATAATATAATATATATATATAATATTATATAATATAGATATATATATATATATATATATATATATATATATATAGGAGAGGATCAAATGAGAACACCTAAAAGGTTGAGAACGCGAGAACAATTCTGGACCAATCATATATAAGGGCATACTAGTAAAGTATATTTAATTAAATTAAAATAAAATAAATTCAATCAAATTCCCTTAAATTTAGGATCAGTTACCAAAAAGAATAATATTCAATTTTTATTTTTCTTATTAATGGAATATAAAAAACATTTTTACCAAAATTTATTTTAAAACTGAAAAAAAAATTCTTAAAAAAATCAATTTTTTTCTCCTATTTCACGTTTTTTTTTGTGTTCAATAAATGAATAGAAATCGAACACCAAATTAGTACATTTATATTCATAAATGATTTTTTTTTTCAAAAAACCTGATACTACTCCAATCACAAATCACAATAAATACACATCAATTACAAGTAATCTAATTCCTTTTTTAATCAATTGAAAATAAAAAGAGTGTAAAATTATCATTTCTTCATAAAAAGAATACCTCTAATTATAAATAAATATACTCATTAACACGTGCTTACACTGTTATTCACAAATGAATACACTGCTATTAACAAATGAGTACCCTGTTATTCAGAATTGAATAAATGAATACCTCTAATCATAAATAAATACATTCATTCATTGTTATTCACAAATGAATACACTTCTATTCACACATGAATGCACTGCTATTCATTCACTGTTATTCACACATGAATGCACTGCTATCCACAAATGAATAACTGCTATTCATAGATAAATACAATTTTTCATTCTTCCATTTCCTCTCACACTCCCTTCTTTTTCTCCTATCTTTGAGGTGCAACAAAAACACCCCCACCAGAGGTGTTTGTTGGTCGTTTCCTGCGAGCCAAGGGTAGCAGCCCCCTCCGTTTTCTCCCACTGTTTTACGACACACCAAGCAACCCAAACACCCCCTGTTGTCGTTTTCTTTATGCCTTCCTCCCCCTCTCATTGACAGTAACTGGAACAAGAACGAAGTGGTGAAGAGGTTGCCAGAGAATAGCCCCACCACTCCACTACTGCGATGAACCACCAAATCGGTGGAGGTGCTCCCTATTCTTCTTTCTTTCTTCTTCGCTCCTAAAACAATTTCATACTTCATCATTTCATGTTCTTGATAGAAAACCCCAAATCGAAATCTGAAAACACAAATTGAAAGTAAAGAGATGGATTTGCACTCAAAACATCGAATAAAGGTGATATATCAATGAATCGATTCTGAATAAATGAAATATAAAGGAAGCCCTAATCATACCCTTTACCCTTCATAACCAGGAAACCACCATCGACATAGCCTCCATCATCAACCTTTATCTTCACAGCAACATTCAAGCAAAATCGAGACCATACCTTCCAACTTGAAATCGATTGCTGGTCTAGAATCTCCAATGAAAACCGATGAACTAACATCGACTTGTAGGAGTGCTCTTTCGCTGATTCAAACAAAAAAACCCGAGAGCAGCCCAAATGATTTTTGACATGTTTCCGTTCATTGTCACTCGATCAGACGAGGTTCGAATATTCCCCAATCGACTATGCCTCCAGATCCATGCTCCGTTCATGAATCCTCTCCTTCTGATCAAAAGCAATTCAGAGATCCTGTTTCCCTTTCTCCCATTTTGGCTTCATCGATTCCAATCTGTCTCACCATTCTTTTCCCTTTGTGGTGGATCGATGATGTAGGGTGGAGGCGTACCTAGGTTTATAGAGAGATATGAAGAGAGAGATGGGAAATAGAAGGAAATAGGCGAGTGATTGAGGAATTATAGGAATTAATAACGGTGGTAAAGGTCCATTACTATAATACCCTTATCACCATTTGAAGTTACACTTTAATACCTGTAACTTTTAAAATTCTACATAAATGGCCCATTCAATAATAACCTTAGATTTAGTTTTTTAAATGGTTCAGATCTGTTCTCGCGTTTTCAACCTTTTGGGTGTTCTAATTTGATCATACTCCTATATATATATATATATATATATATATATATATTCTATATTATCTATATATATATATATATATATATATAATATATAAGGTAAGAGTTCATTTGAGACGAACATATTTTGTGAGACCGTGATACCAAATTGTTTTAGTAAAATATTCTAATATTCTATTGTTCGTAAAAATAGAATATGCAATATACTAACGTTATATGTGTTAGAATATTTCAATGTAAAATATATTTAAATTATTGTTTTAGAATATTAACATATCAACATATTTAATTTTTTATAAACACTAGAATATTAGATATTTTCAGTAGAAAAAATGGTCTCACGGTCTCACAAAAATAGGCCGTTTCACATGAACCTATATATATATATATATATATCTATATATATATATATATAGATATCATATACTATAATAGTTAGGTTCATGTGAAACGGCCTACTTGTGGAGACCGTGAGACCATTTTTTTTCTAGTGAAATATATATATATATATATATAGATATATATATATATATATATATAATATATATACTATATATATAATATATAAGATATATATAGGGTTTAGGTTATATGTGATGACATCTATTAGTGGTCGTAAGGACAATTTTGGACCAACGGATGAGAAATAACGGGTGATTATGTTTTGAGAGTCTATGATATTACAATGGACTAACATGTACAATATAATCACACAAATTTCATTGGAAGGGTATTTTTGTCAATTAAAGTAAATTTAAAAAAGGTAAATTTCGAATTTTAAGTGATAATTAATTCATTTAATTTTTAAAATATGATATTTTTTAAAAAGGTAAATTTCGGATTTTAAGTAATAATAATAATAATAAAAATAAAGAGTAATCATAATCGATATTTTTGTCATTGGTTTTTTTTCAAATTTTTTTTCAGCGAATTTAAAGTAAAAGCTGCGATTTTTTTCATAAAAAAATGCAAAAAAAAGTTCTGTGGTATTTAAGTATTTTTTTATGCATTTTTTTGATTTTTAGCTTTTTTGTTTTACATAGAACCTAAACCCCCCTCTCTCTTATATATATATATATATAGATATTATATATATATATATAGAATATATATATTATTATATATGATAAATAATAATAATAATAATAATAATAATAATAATGATAATAAAATTTAAAACCCACAACTCATTTAATTACCACAATTTTGTTTTGTGAACTCTTAATGAAGTCCAAGTGCAAGTCTTCAAGAGTCCGTCCACTTCCAAGAGTCCAGAGCCCAAACGTAACCCTACAAATCGCAAAGGCGCAAACTCGCAATCGTTTCTTTCTCAGTTTCTTGCAATTGTTTCTTTCTTCCATTCTCTGTCGTTGTTCTTTCTTCCAAATGCCAACCGAGTGAAGCATCGAGGTGAAGAGACAAGTCAGCTCTCCCTGCGGCTCCTCTTGCTCATCTCGTTGCTCTCCGCCTCTCTGATAAGGACATAAGGTATGTTCTGAGTTCTCACTTTTGATCAAATGTGTTACATGTATCCGAAATCACCAATGTAGATTGCCATCGTAACCATAACGGGATCCAGAAGGTGTTCGAGGTTATTTAACTCGTGCTCCTCGAGTTCGTGTTTTACTAAAATTGAAACGTTTCTTGATGCTAAAAAGAAACAAGTTTGTGCGGCTTTTTTGTTGGATCATTCGTTTTTTACAGCTCTTCTTTTCATTCATTTTTTATTGAATGAAACATTTGTTTTTTACTTCTGTAAATATTTGTTACTTGCTAATTCTAAACTTCTACAAACATTTTTTGTTGAATCAGGTTACTTGTGCAAACGTTCAGTAATTCTGATTACTCTTTATTATTATTATTTTAATCTAGGTCCTAAAATCGATATAAATAACATTAACATTTCAAATATTGAACCTGTGAACATCATCTAAATTAGTCTAATGGGCTCGACTAAAATGGGCCTAAAAAGCATAAACCGAGAAACCAAACCTTGGTTCGGTTTTTAATTTCAATGGTTCGGCTTCGGTTTTCGCTTGACAAAAACCGTTACTCATGGTTTGGCTGCGGTTTCACCTAAAAACCAAAAAAACCTAACCATGAACAGCCCTAGTGGACAGTGCTTTGTCGGTGGTCAAATAAAAAGTTGGCAGGGGCAAAGCACCGGCATGCCTACCCATTCTCTCTGCCACTGTCCCCTTTCACATCTTGTATAAATACCCATGAAAACTGGTATGCAACAAGCTTTGTTAGGGGTTTGGATATGGACCAATGCAGGTAAACCCAAATCGATTCCCCTACCTTGAAGCTCACCTTTACAGTCTCGTCATTGCCTTCACTCCGTCTTCCTTACTCATGGCCGGTCTTTGATTGAACAACTTCTTCAACTCTTTTCCCACGTTCGTAAACTCCTTGCTCTTTCAACTACTTTCGGAACTCCCTACGTATAAATAAAGGGAGACTATTGTTAAAGAACACTGTTTCTTTACATCTTTTTCTCTCGCCTGTTCATCATTTTTTCTTTTGATATACTGAAAATCTTCATTGAAGCTTCTGATTGTTCTTGGTGTTTGGTGTTTGTGGCTAATGGTTTCTAGGTCTTTTCTCTATTCAGCTTCCAAGCACAAACACCGTGGTGTTTTCGCTGATTTTTTTGTACTCCGTTCTAATTTCAATTGTGTTTCTTCAATAAATTTAGGCTTGTAGGGTGTTGGTTGTGAATTGTCGAATGTTTATGGAAACTTTGATTATGATTTTGTGATTTCATAAGATCAAATCCATCTTATGTGAATTGCTTGAGTTGATTTTAACATAAATATATAGATATATGAGACATTTAGTGATTATTAAATTAATAATGATTTCTTTATCTTCAGGCCACAATACTAAGGTTGCTAAGGAAGGATTTAATGGGAATGACTCTGAAAATTAGGTTGTGGAAGTTCTTAAACTACTCAAGGAAAATGCACATAAATTGTTTGTAGAAATGCCTAAGAGACGGTAATATTCTGAATTTGGTTGGTTTTCTCAAGAAAGAATCATAGAATTGTGTACATGAACCACTTATCCTTGTTTTCCCTTTTAAATTGGTTTAGACATTAACATTGTTTCATTTCTATAATTTGTACATGGTTTGAATTGATTTGACAAATGATGGATAAATATGCCCCTACTGGATTCCCCTGCATCCAACACAAATGGCCTAAATGACAATTCTTTGTACTGCTTGGTATCTTAAGATTCTTCTATTATCGATCAGTTTTCATTAACAAAAGCAATAATCTTCTAAAGTATACCATTTAGCAAATAAAATTTCACATTACTAATGCTAAACTCGCCTTTATTTTCTTGGCTTTGTGATTAAATGGTCTTCTAATATGCTTGTCAATAACTATATGCAATATCTTCCTCTAGCACGTATTTGAAAAATATGACTTGTTTGATCATGATGCAAAATAAAAGTTATGATTGAATGTAGCATTTCAAAACAAATCATAAGTTTTGGTATAAAGCTTTTTATTGGTTGTGAAAGTTTTGATAAGGTGTCTTACTGCCTAAACTTTATATATATTATTACATTTGCAAGAATTATTTTTGACTTATTTCCATTTGTGCAACCATAATGCAGATTCTTTGCAACGTTCCATATACACTGATTCTCATATACGAATTAACCAGTTCTAAATCTGTTGATTGTAACAACAGGTATGTTACTCCCCCTTTTCTGTTTATGATTCAACTATTTGTCCATCAATTTATCAAACTGCTTCTTTAGGATTGTTTTAGTAAGTATGAATATGAACGGTAACTTAGAGTTTAATTTACATTATGGTATATTTCTCCCTTTGTTGTGAGATATCTATACTAGGACAACTTTCTTGACTTCCAAGATGGTGTGGGCCGTAGGATTAGTGGAAACCTTTTGTACTTTTTATTTTCATTTTACTTCTCCCTTTTAAGATATGATTTATGAAAAATCAGGTTTGCTCTCTAAAAAGGTGACATTCTAATTTATGAAATAGTTTTTTTTTAAAAATTTTAGTGGAGTACAACATTTGTAACCCTTTTGATTTGGTAAACCGAAGAAACCAAATTTTTTAGATTTCATATGCATTAGATAGATATAACTGACATAATCGTGTATGATCATCAACAAAAGTTATAAATCACCTTTCTGTAGAAAAATTGTGATCACACTATCAATAAGGTGAATTGATTTGATTCATGATTATGTTTATTTTTATAATTAATTAATTAAAGTTATAACTCCCAGTTGGCCAAGTGTATGTAATTTAAACATCTTAATGAATCTGTTACTCATGTTTTGATTCCTGTTTATGCCATAAGAAAGTATATCTTTTAGGCCAACATGTATTGCTTATTATGAGGAGTTTGGGTATCAATTAGAAATTTATAAGTTTCTTATAATATCTATTTTTGTTTTTATGTTAATTTCATGTTTTACAG